CAACCTTCCAAGTAGCCAGAATTACAGGCATGTGCTACCACGCCCGGCTGATTTTTTAATTTTATTGTAGAGATGAGGTCTCGCTGCCCAGGCAGGTCTTGAACTCGCGGGCTCAGGCAATCCACTCACCTCAGCCTCCCAAAGGCGCGGGATTACAGGCTGAGCCACCAAGCCCGGCTCAAAAAATTGTTTTAAACAATTAGGTTGGGCACGGCACACACCTGTAGCCCCAGCTACTCAGGTGGCTGAGGCAGAAGGATCGTTTGAGCCCAGGAGTTGTAGACTACAGTGAGCTGTGATCCCACTACTGTACTCCAGCCTGGGCTTCAGAGCAAGGCTCTGAGAAAGAAAGAAAGAAGAAACAAAGAAAGAAGGAAGGAAGGAAGGAAGGAAGGAAGGAAGGAAGGAAGGAAGGAAGGAAGGAAGGAAGGAAGAAAGAAAGGGGGGCTTGGTCATGAGCCAGCTGAGCAGGACCAGAAGGCCACAAGGAGCCTTGCTATGTCAGGCCTGCTTGATCAACTCTCGAAAAAAAGAATGACAGCCTGCTTGTCTCCTAGGGAAGTCTGCAGGGAAGCCCTTGACTTAACACTGGGAGCCCAACTCCCAGGCCAGCCAGCACTGTGACCCCACATTCCTGGCACACGACACCCACAGGAGCACTGCTCAGGGATTCCACTGGCTAAGGGTCAATCTGGTCTGGCTTCCCTGCAGAAGACCTGGAAAGGAGATACATCTGGACGGTGGAAAGCCCATCTACTTTGAGTTTCTACAGATGGGGCCGTGACTCTGTCCCACCAGCTGTGTGACCTTGAGCAAATGACACCCTCTCTGAGTCTCAGCTTTCTTTCCTGCTACATGGGGAAATAAAATATGGTGGGGGATAGAAATAATATGTGTAAAGTGTGGGACCTGCACTGACAGAGTGTTCCCTGCCCAGAATGGATCTGGTAACCCACTCCTGCCAATGACCAGGGCCATGGGAACAGGAGTCAGGGAGACTGTTCCGAATTTAACATAAGAATGTTCTCAGGGATGCTGTTTGTTAGTCTCATGTTCCTGACCTCACAACAAATACTTCCGTGAGGTCATCACCATAGTCACAAAACCTACTCTTTAAGAATGATGCAGACTAACCGTGGGGACTCCCTATGCCACCCCAGTCAGTGTGTTCCCCTCAGACACGCCTCGCCTGCTGTACTCCACTCCAGGAATCTGCCTGTCTGGAGAGGTGGGAGAAAGAGGCTCACTCCTGCTGAGGTAATTGCATCTTCTATCCCCAATTCATCATGGCCCTCCTTGGAGACTACTGCTTTTTTTTTTTTTTTTGATAACGGCGTTATTGAGATATAATTTGCATACCATACAATACACCCATTAAAATTGTGCAGGGCAGGCCATGCTTGGTGGCTCAGCCTGTAATCCCACGCCTTTGGGAGGCCGAGGTGAGTGGATTGCCTGAACCCACGGGTTTGAGACCAGCTCAGGCAACTTGGCGAGACCTTGTCCCTACAATAAATCAAAAATGAGCCGGGTATGGTAGCACGCACCTGTAGTTTCAGCAACTTGGAAGGCTGAGGCGGAAGGATCGCCGGAGCCCAACAGGTCAAGGCTGCGGTGGCCGGGAGCGTGCCACGACACTCTAGTCTGGGCAACAGAGTGAGACTCCAACTCAATAAATAAATAAATAAATAAAGTGTGCAATGCAGTAACCTTTAATTATTCACAGATGTGTGTAACTTCCCTGCAACCAACCTTAGGATATTTTATCACCCTAAAAAGAAATGTTCCACCCGTAGCATCTCCATTCCCCCTCCCAAGCCCCTGAAATCCATTAGCCTCATTCCTTTTTTTTCTTTTTCTTTTTTTTTCAAGTCAGGCACTCACCCTGTCCCTCAGGCTGGAGTTGCAGTGGTGTGATCACCTCTCACTGCAGCCTCAACCTCCTGGGCTCAGGTGATCCTTCTATCTCATCCTCTGGAGTAGCTGGGTCTACAGGCGTGCACCACCACATATGGTTAATTCTTTGATTTTTGTAGAGATGAGGTCTCACTATTGTTGCCCTAGTCTGGTCTCAAACTCCTGGGCTCAAGCAATCCTGCCACCTTGGCCTACCAAAGTGCTGTGCCACTGCGCCTGGCTGTCCAGAATCTTAAATGCTCCAGGGCAGCTGCTGTCTTGGCGGAGGTCTCAACAATCCCATGTGACTTAAGAGCAGAGGGTATATCAAATGCCCAATATTAAAGATAAGAAAACAAGACAAGAGAAGGGGAGAGTGACCACAGCCCAATAACAGACAATGCTGTCTGAACAACATCCCAACCAGCAACATTTTGGCAATGGTGAAGATCTGGATGTTGTAGAGGAGTGTTCTGAGCACTGACTTCATCTGCCCTTGGCTAAAGAGAGTACAGAGGAAGAGAGAACATCACTGACAGCGTGGACTGGCCTGGCACTACCAGCTGGTGGCTAGGAGCTGTCCTTGGTCTTAAACATGAGCTGTTTTGAGGAGCACCAACCCCAGGCAGCGCCATGATGTGTCAAGACAAAACAAGGTCAACCCACAATAATGTCTGAACTCCAACAAAAACAAGAATATTTTCCAAATCACAAACATGACCAAGTATCCCCCTAGCCTGGCTAACATGAATGACCACTGCTTCTTTACCAAAGCTTTAGCTTTGCTTCATTCCTCCTGCCTTCTGGACAAGGTTTATGAAAACACCCATCATAGGATACTCCCGCTCCCTGAAAGCGTCCCATCCAGAACAAAGCTCAGCTTCCCTTCACACCCCTTCCCAATCACCTAACACAAGCCCAAACCTTGTAAGTCCTTCTATTTTTTTTTTTCAGATTGGAAAACATAGTTTTTTAGAAAGTAGATTAGAGAGCGAGAGAGGAGATTTACCTCCCAAGATTGGGGAGGGGGCCAAATCTTAGGGAAAAGCATGGCCCGGCCATAGCTTAAGGAAAGCATGACAGGATCAGAGCTTAACAAAAACCTGGCAACCCAAACCCTGTAAGACCTTCTAACCATCTCTCATGAGATGCCCCTCCGTTCCCCATTGTACTATAGGTCCTAAAATTTCAGGGGCTGTCTTGACATCCTTGAGCCTCATAGGGCCCCAAAGGTCTAACTCACCCTCACCAGATATACCACCCACCCCCAGCAGGACAGGCTCCCACCGCAACAGCTGCCCAGTCAGCCACACCAGCTGCACCCCACCTGGTCCTCAGTCTCATGGACTTCCATCCCCCACCAGCCCTGGGAAATATTCAAACAAACCAATCACATCCTCCTGTAGGAACCAGGGATGTCTCACCCTCTTGTCACTACAAAGTTTGCTTCCCGAAGCCCCTGGTGGTTCCCTCTGAGAGCCACCCCCATGGAACTCTGCACAGCGTGCTATGTCTCCTCTCCCAAACTGTCCTTTATGTGACTATAACAGATGTGGATCCCATCTGCCCCATGTCAGGTGCCAAGGGTTTGGTTATCT